ATGAGCTGCCTGCTGCTTTTCTGTTCTTTAACTGCCCCACATTTCCTGCAAAACCCCATCAAAACGACTTTCAGAAAAATGCAGTATCACTTGTTCTGTGATCACGCTAATCTGAACGCTTTAGCAGATTGAGAGCTTCGAGTGCTGAAAGCAAAGGCAACTCAATCTTAGAATTTAAAAGGCTTTTTTTTTCGCCTCATACAGCCTGCAGCCAAATGGCACTTGTGTTCTGACACGGCACATAAACACACACAAAAGAAGTTATTAGCGTAGATGCAAATCAAATTACTAGCAGTGTAAACTGCTATTCCTCCCTGCACTTGGGCCTGTAATTACTCTGGCTTATAGGACTATAATGAATGCTAATGACACACTACTGCAAGGCCATCAGCCGAACACTTGTGTGAGGTTGGGTGATTTTCACTTAAGTTATGAAAGCCCATTTTGGTCCTGTTTAGTTTCCCCCTCATTCCTACTCTGCACAAGATTAAAGAGAACAAGAAATTTAGAGGGAAACACTTGCTGGAATATGTTTCAAGAGCAAATCATTTAAAAATTAAAGGCCGTAATTGGATGCATTCAACCATATCATATATAAAGCGTATTTTTGCATTTCAAAGGGGATTACAAATTCAGCCACACAATGAGTCCTTGTGAAAATGACAACAGTTGCACATGCCTCAAACAAGAATCAGTCGGCGTTCCTCTCTGAATCTCATTTCACTGCAAAAATATCTGCTTTAGCGGCTTGGAAATCAATATACAAACAATACACTGAAATGCTACACTGTGTACTGTGGAGAGGGAGCTCTGTGTTTTAATAAAAATGCTCTCAGGTCTGTTTGATAAGGAAGTGCTGGGGTTGACAAAATAGAAACTGAGGGCATACTTGAAGATTTAACAACAGAGACACCTGAATCAGTAAATGCACAAAGATATGTGTTGTTAATAGAGCTGGGCGATAACAATGTACATTGAAAATTTATTTCCCTCAATATCAATATAAACATTGTCAATATGCCTTTCGATAGTTGGCATTCTGGCAAAGGGAAGCTGCTGCGGGTCTGCTTCGCACTAAACATAGTAGCAAACAACTGTGTTTTAGCAGACAGCAGCTACACACAACCATAGCACTTTAACACATGAAGCTGACAGCACTATTGGTGAGAAAAATTAAAATGAGTGCTACCCCTGACAGAAATGCTGATAAAGGCTCAACAGATAATGACATCATTGACAACACCGGCACGAAAACGTCGGTGGTGTAGAGGTATTTTAGTTTTTTGAGGCCCGGCATGAAGCAGAGTAATGTGCACTGCAAATTACATCGAGAACATGTTCCCGCAAAGTTGGGGAATACCTCAAATCTTTTTCACCACCTGAAGCAGTGCCACGCCGCCCTCCCTATGCCGCAGGACCATTCTGACGAAAATTAGTCACACTGCAGATTCATTGCACCTGCAGAAACTCCAAATCCAGTCCTGTTTCACCCTCCCAAAGATCTATAACATGATCATCTGGAAACTGCATGAGGACATCCCACATCATCAAGTCCAAAAGGTGTGAGGAGTCATGAAGCCACCCCAGCAAACTAAGCATCCTAAGGACAAGTCCCAGAAGAGGATGTGCAGGCAGTCGATCCGCAGGAAGACCTCAGACCCATGGAGAGGTCTGAAGCACAGAACTTCCCTGCAAATGTCTCCAAAAGTTGGTCAGTGTCCTTCATTCCCACAGAGAGGAACCTGACGACACGAAAAGCATACAATCACTACAAGCAGTGCCGCCTTGAAAATAAGCATCCCAGCAGGTCTACTACTGCCTTACCAAACAGCAGTAGACCATCTGGGTAGACCCAATACCTAGACTCACCAGGATCACTGAGGCACAACCAAAGAGTCCAATTTTTGGTCTCTACATCCTTAAATTATTTTAAATTATTTAAATATTAACAAATCTATATAAACATATTAAAAAAATAGCACTTACCTCTGACTACCTCAAAAGCTTGAGGGATAAGCAGAGTTAATGGGTTTATTTATAAACAGTGTGATGATTTCAGAGGTCACAGGAGCCACTGGACCTCCTTTAATAATGTGTACATTTCTTTTCTTGCCATGTGTTACTGTATTTACCACCTGAATTTGTGTTGTGTTGCCCTCCTTCCTTAACATTTTGTACAACAGGGGCGCCTCTCAATCCCCTAAATTTCAGGATTGGGGTCAACTTACTGTCCTATTCGCATGCACTTACAAACCTCAGCACTTTTCCCCTTTGCTTTTTGGAAGCTCCTTTCACTCCTTTGCAAGCTCCCAAGTGTCCCAGTGTGTGCTCCATGCACACGCAATGCAAAAGGTTACAATCCCCAAGCGGAGCAAGGAGCCCATGGCACCTGTGCATCCGAAACAGCTGACCATTCTGCTTTTTCTAGCGCAATGTCTTACAACAAAAAGTCGAAGAGACACAAAGACCTCACAGATGCAGTAGCTTATTGTATTGAAAGAGACATGCAACCAATAAGCACTGTTAAATTTCATTTTTTATACCATGATATATATCAATATCGACTAATGTGGAAAAAATATATCATGATAAACTTTCCCCATATCGCCCAGCCCTAGTTGTTAGTGTTACATGTAAGGGTAAATGTATAGTGAGCAGGTTGTGGCACTTCACCAACGTAAAACATCTGGGCCTTGTCACATCCAGAGGGGATGCTGTTTTGCAGAATACAACCCCCTCACTATACACTGTTTTGCTTATTATTACTCTGCAACAAGAACAGAGGCTCGCTAGGCTATCATCTGCTGCAGACTGGACCAACTCACCTGATTCAGCAGATTTGAAGAAAATCTGACCTGACAACTACCATCAGTTCAAGTGTAAGCTCTTTATAGACATACTATTTCCAGATTCAAGATCCCTAGTGGGAAATACACATTACAATGTACTGTTGATTAAAATTGCAAATACCTGCTTTATTCTTAGGTATAATAACTCATTAATGTGCAATAACATGTCCACTTCTTTTTCTGTTCACTGTGTAGAACCATTTTAGTTCTGTAGTTGCTTACATTTTTCTCTTTTTTGTATATAATATTTTTGTATAGGTCTAAGTTAACTTTTGTAAATATCTATGCACTGTGTGCATGATGAGTTTACTTATTCTTGTGTTTGCTGTGCTGATCCTTTGCTGCAGCAAATTTCCCCACCGTTGAATGAAAAAAGGTTTACCACATCTTATCTTATCGATTTGTTCTAAGCTTTTTCAAGACATCTTAATGAGCCTTTAAAGCTCATTAGACAATGTAAACAACTTCAGATGTGGGTCATTTTTGGTGCCCCTTGTGGTTTTTAATGTTGCATTAAATTTACGTGTTTACATGCATTTCTTGAATCCAACTTCAGTTCCATCTGGCAGATTTTTGACCATCACGTGTCATTAATGGTAAATGTTTTATGGGAAAATTGCAAAAATTACCAAAATGTTTCTTAGGCTGCTTGGTTGAAACCCCTCCCTTTATAATCTTAATGCTACCAGACTGTTTTATTTGGGGTTTTCATGCCTGTACTTTATTGTCCTAACTGCAGGATTGTCTCCACCACAACTTCATGAATAATCTTATTTTCTGATGTTAGAAAAATCTATTTAATGAGCAAGCCTGGTCAGAAAGTCTTAACATACATTTATATATGCAGCAATTCCCAGGTCTACACCCTCATGGTGTCCTTATTCAGCATGTCTTTATGCCTAAACAGCATATGAGCTTATCTTATAGGCAGATTTATTACCACTGTACCACATGTCTTAACCTTGGTCTGTTGAGAATTTGCTTATTGAATGAAATTACAGACTTACTGATATATCAGCCACAACCTTTGTGTGTTTATTCTTCCTCACAAACAGAAGAGAAGGCTGAAGCTCTTCGTCGGCTGCTTGAATAAGGAGTTTTTGTTGACCTGAGCTAAAGGTCAGCAGTGCAGAAGAAATGCTGCAGTAGAGGGAATGCAGGACAGCTGAAGTCTGTGTGGATGACAGAGAGATAAGGACTGTGAGGAAGAGGAGAGGATGAGGAGCAAGGCTGCATTCTGCATCACTGTTTGCTACAGGCATAGGAACCTCACCAGCAAAAACTGGGGGCTCTACAGAAGATAGACTCTGCTGCATTATAGATTTGTCAGAAACAATTCATAGATTTGTTTTGTTTATGCACTGGTCTTTACTACTGTATATTTTGTACATAATCCATGTTTAATATTCCCAAAAAGTTTCCTGATTCAGATTCTGCTTCTTGCTTGAAGAGTTGGGCAACTTACCCCCAATTTCCCCCGCATCGTGAACAGCTACAAAAAGGCTTTATCCGCCGATCATAGCTGATCGTAGCCATTCAAGTTAATGGGCTCTATTTTCGTGCCTCGCCGGAGACATGACGCAGGCGCGGCGTAAGTCAGGTCCACTGCACCGACAAGGCGTTCCCAAGCACGATTTGGTATTTTGGTGAGCGGCGCAGCCTGGCGTAAGTACCCCCCCCCCCCCTCCCTAACTCAGCTCCTCCCAGCGGCGTAAGTCGTAGCGAGGGAGGAAAGAGGGCGTGGAGGGGGTTTAACACAGCTGAGACCTGTATTGACCAATAACATCACCTCCTCTCCTCGCCTTTAAATCTGCCACCGGCGAGGTGTATTACTGTTTTTGTGAAGTAGTCAAAGAGATCAAGAGATGTCTGAAGACAGTAATGCCACACAATGGCGACAGAAGGCAGCTCCTCAACAAGTGTCGCTGTAAACGCTGCAGAGGGCGTCCTTCACACTCTCTCATATGAGCACAGATGGATTTGGTGTGTGTAATGTTGGACCCACTAGTAAGACAAACACCCTTTTCCACAAATAAAGACACTCGCAAAAAGTTGCATATATTTAAACTCCACGTGACAAAAGTGGGTTGTGCGCAGAGATCACATCATAAATTCCAAAAATGGCATTAAAATCGAACCATCTGGTCCGTGGCCTGGCTCTTTCTTTCATAGATGTTGGCATATAAAATAAATTTGACTCACAAAACTGAATATTATAATATTCGTATGTAGGCTTAAAGTGAATAACTCATCTGATTACTGAAACAAATAATCTGTTCAGCCGCCCCAGCAGCAGCTGCAGCAGGACGGGGAGAGGATACGGAGACATGTCCAGGTCGAGCTGCGTGAGAAATAAGAGGAAGAGGAAGAAAGAAAAGGAGGGAGATGGATTAAATATCTTGTTAACTTTCATGTGTGTCTATGTACTAGATATTTAATTTAATGCGGTCTCAGCTGTGTTGATTTGGTCAGGTTGTGTGTCCAAATGCATACCAAACGCGCTCATCAGATAAGATATAGATCAGAATATATCCATAGATCTAAATGTATGTGCTGACTCAGATTATTAGTTGTTGATGACTATTTATTGCACTGAAATGTGCCTGAAACTGTGGAAACCTGCCGGTGAGGCATTGGTGACGTATGTGCACTATGCCCCTGGTCTACCAAAATACCACTAGACCAGCTGCGCTCTGCCTGCGCTGAAAGCTGACCAGGTTTGAATCGGCGAGCTTTCAGCGCACTTTATACCCCACCGGCGAGCACAAAAATATCACTGCGGCAGCTGATTCTGTCGACACCTCCCTCTGCCACGCCACCACGCCCAGCTTGGCGGACCTCGTGCGCCTCAGTCCACGAAAATATCAAACTGGCTGTATGAAAAAAAGCACTGTGCAGGGTCCACCACCCTCCACCACCTCACCAGCGCACACGAAAATAGAGCCCAATGTGTCAATTTCCGACAGCGTCTTCCCATTCCGCTGCGGATCGCTGGACTCCACAGCTGATCGCAAGAGTTCTATCTTTTCTAGACGCCCGAGCATGCCACATAGATTCAGCAAAGATTTCTCCGTGCTGGAAAGGAAGTCGAGCACAGACACAAAATAAAACATCTAGCTTCTTTTCAAAATAAATCACTCTGTGTTTCAGGCGGATTATATTTCACACCATGCAAACGGGCGGGGACGAACAAGTGAAAGGTTTATAGACAGCATTTAATCCCGAGAGGATGCTGATTTTATAAGTCTAGAAGTAGATTTCCTCCTCTGGAAGGACACAGTCTACTGCTTATATGGTTAGCCTGTGTGGCTAAAGACAACTCGTTATCGCGCGATTGCACGTGAATCCGCAGGTTCTTGTGAGTTCTTGAGATTCCTGCTGTCCGTAATCTGCCACCAAGTTTGCCCTACAAACGGATCCAGTATGCATACAGCAAAAAATCGCTGCCGTTACGGATCAGAGCCGTTACGGATGCAGTGGAAATCCTGGGTAAAGGTCATGGAAAGGTGAGGTGTCACATGTCACAACTTCAAATCAGACCTCGTGTTTCTCTATTTAAAAATAAAACAAAAGCTAACCCAGTACTGAGGAAATGTATCCATGGTCCTCTCAGACACTCTCTTCCACATAAGGTCTCAGAAATGTCGATATGGTAGTTTTTAGAAAATGAAATGCTGATGTTATGCTGAAAATAAACATATAGCAACGCCCGGTTAACAGTTCACAGTGGCAATCCTGTATGCTGATTGCCACAGGCCATAAACCAGAGGGTAGACTAGAAACTGCTCCTTCCAGGAAACCAGCCATAGTAAGCTAGCCCTCTGAGAGATGACTCAGCACTTCTATAAACCGACATGCAAGGATTTATTATGAATTAAAAAACAACGTTCCATCTTCAGGTTACTAATCATTCAACATTTACACTTTCTACTCCATATTTTAGTTGGTTACGTTTAGTTCTGTAAAGTTCAAGCTACCAGGAGCAGTATACTTCAAAATAAAAGCATAGCTTTACACTGCAAGCAAGGAAACACCCGTAATGCAAGACAAAAAATATTGAAATAAAGAAAGATGAGGTTACCACTTTGTCGTCAGGGACACCAAATTAGCACAGAAAGTACTTCACAGGAGCTTTAAGTACAGTGCTGCTCCTCTTCTGTCTTGCCGTTCCTCAATTTATCTGTTTTTGTTGTTGTCAAGTTTTCCATCAATATTGCAATAATATTGTTATCATAACTGTAATTGCCACAATAATCACAGAGTGAAAACCTGATACGGTGATAGCCCTCAATAATGTCAATACAGCTATCATGCCGTGTATTTATGTATGTATATGCTGGTCTCAGCCCCCCTCTACTGTCCTATAAAAACAGACTAGGAGGTGTGGAAACGGATTCTAATCTAATCAAATTTATCAATAAGTTTGGTTTGATTTCTCCTCCTTAAATTCAAATTAACTCAATTTGTCTATCCAGATGGTCTTGCAAGCTATCACTGGATTGGCTCAGATATTAATGTGCATTTATTCTGTGGGTCAGAAGAGTAAATAAGAACACACAACTTAAACATACTATTTGGGATGTCAACATGCTTTTGCAAACTAAAAATGTTAAAAATTAAATAATACTGAACATGCAACTAAGGCATGCAACCATTTTAGGAGCATTCAAGTGAATCCTTTGCTCAATCCAAAACCAGTAAAACAGGTTTTGGCTAACAGTTCGATTTTTATGTTGTCAATTTCTTGTGAACAGATACTTTAACCCTTTATGATAAGAATGAAATTTTGATAGTAAATTATTATCTAAGAAATGCATGAGATGTACCTTGAACATCTTTTCTGGCTGTCTTCTGTGTATAAGTTAAAAGATATGTTAGCCAATGAATACCACAAAACCTAGACATATAAGTCAATTTTTTTACCTTGCCTTTACTTTGCCTCACTAGTTAGATATATTCTATGTTACAAAGTCCTACTCTTTTGTACATATACTGTATGTGCAGGATTTTTCCACATTATATCAACTCAAATTGAACAAATTTTGTGTGCAATTCTTGCAATCCGGCCCTGACATTTAGGCCTTGAGAGACATGAGAGGAAAACCCAAAAAATTTACAAAAGTGAGAAATGAAAAATATCCTTGAAAGTGAAAAAGATTTTGGATCGTGAGCCAAATGTTCTTTAATTTTGCTCTCCATTCTCTGAGTCAGTGTACTTAACATTGTTCTACTCATCAATTCCCACTCTGCTCTGTTTGGTGAATGATAGATTTATTGTGTTTACTGAGAACAACAGCTGAGGACAGAAACATCAGCACATCTCCTGCGTCACAGCTGAGAAACAGGAAGATTTTTCTTCAGACCTCAGTGGACAAAGAATCCAGAGTAAATCTCAGATCAAACAACACGCTGAAAAGTTGGATCTCAAAATAAATAGCTACTGTCAAAGGGCCTGCAGGCAGGAGAGGGAAGAGAAGATTGTCTCAAATGAAAGACACCTCCTTGAAATCCTATTGAGCTATTTTCAGTGAGACCCAGAAAAAAAGTGAGAGAAAAGAGTGCACTGGTAAAGGTCAGCGTGAGCCCAGATCACAGAACCTGAAACATGGCTCAAAGATAAAGGGCGCAGTGAGAAATATATCAATTACGCCATGACATTTTCCACAGAGACAAAAGAGGATGTATAAAACCACACAATAGTGTGGGTCTGTGGCCACTGCATCCGCTGTTAAAGTCACAAATATTTGGTCAAGTTACAACCCCATTGTGTATTTAGTGTCTAAATACTATACAAGACCTTAAAATACTAAATACATCCAGCTTCATCCTTTCAGTTGTAAAGATTTTCCCTAAAGAAGTCATATGTTACAGTACCAGGGGATGATTTGGCCACAGACCTTAAATGTTGTCTCTAACTTAGTTGTGAATTCAGATTATTTGGCCTATTTCGTTTCAAAGAGCAAGTTTGAGCTGCAGCATTACGCACACAGAATCTCAAACATTTTCATCATTCATTACATTCAAACACTCGCCCTGCAAGGTGCTCAACCCCGACCCAGAGTGAGTGCGAGTTCTGACTAAATACTGAAAGCTGCTAACATTAGCAGCTGGACCGAGACAAGTGCTGCAGAAGAGAAAGTACTAGTCTGTGTTTCTGTGACTGTAATCTACCTCTCTGCACACAGCCAGTATGACTCATTTACAGAAGCTAGAGGCGTTGATGCTCTTTTTCTTCATAAGTGGTACAAAGTAACCTGTTATGTTTAATCACATGTAATCAAATAAGTTTATTTCTGCATAAAGCCATTAATGAACCAATTACAGTAACATGAAGCCTGTGTAGGAAAATATAAGCTCATTAAAAAATATATGACCATATTGCTTACATATTTTTAGCCCTCTTTCACTAATATGGGGCTGAGTTTGATTTGCACCTGCCGTCTACTTTCTATCCCAAATCTCAAATGTAAAGCTCGAAGGTCATAAATGAGTTCAACATGCAAACCCTAACTTACTGTAATTATCATTACATTTTTCCAGTGTATAAAACATTAAGTTTTATACACAGGAAAAATATCTGGACAACACCAAGTAAATTTCATTTAGTAAAGCAACTGCTTGCACCATTTTTATTCCTTTTCCACAAAAGGGGTTGTGAAAGAGCATATTATTATTATTATTATTATTATAATAATAATAATAATAATAATAATAATAATAATAGTAATATTATTATTATTATTATTATTATTATTATTATTATTATAGTTTTCATTATTATAGCATTTGCTTGAAAGCATCCAAAAGGGGGCCTTATGCTACACACTTTCAGACATGACACCATCTCTTATAGCAGGTAAAAACAGCAACATAATTCTTGATTTAACCTGTCTTTAAACAGTTGGATAAGGGTTTGATTTATTTGGATCACATAAGGGGTTTCACAGTTGATTGTGGTTATTTTCTCCACTGTGCCCTGAAGCCCTGTTTTTTTATTGAACACTCCAGATTGATTTTATTTCTGTCTTTGACTCCTAAATACAGTTACGAAAAGGTAAAGCGAAGGTACAAAGCCTCTTGTGGGTAAATTTGAACCATGCCTCTGGAAACTGAGGACGTATATACATAGCTTTTCAATCTTGACGTCATTTTCAATAGTGATGGTTGGCTTGATGGTTTTGTATGCATTCACAGGTGTGTGAACATTCCTTCAATAGCCTCTTCTTCCACTATCTTCAACAGTACAACATCTATGGTTGCTGGAGTTGGAGCTGCAGCGGTTCAGTTCATCACATCACTCAGATTTATTCCTACTTACAGTTTTTTGGCACTATACTGCATGTTTTTTGTTCATCCATTTGTCACACACAACATTTATGACACAGCTGATCTGGTTTTGACAGAAAACGCTGCAATTATGGATTTCACCAAAGCAAGTGACACAGTGGATTTGTCAGTGAGTTTGTCAGAGTTCTGCTTTATTTAAAGGGATGACATGTTGACTATAACCAGCAAAATTTTCAAGACAAAAAATTCTCATCTTGTCAAATGCAGCAGCATGGATGGTGGCCCAGTGCTTGAAAACATGACCATCCTGGTACCTCTTTGGTATCAGTTTGACACATACACAGGGCTCTTTTAACAACTTAAACTATCATAAATATGCAACATCTAATGAGACTGTAAAATAAAGCACTCAAATAGAAATGGCTACTTTGACTTTATCTGCTGATGTCAAAGATTCCCTTTTATTTGTATTTGTTAAAATGTTATTTAGCAGACAGTTTGGTAATGCATAAACTGAGTAAAAAAAGGTCAAGGTTTTGGTATAAATACACAAGAGACATTGGTTGATTATTATTATTATTATTATTATTATTATTATGATCATCACTACTATATAGTATCATTACATACCATTATTCTATTAAATTGTATGGTATTATTTTATATTCAAGAGTATCAGGAAAAGCACAGCATAGCAAATCAAGTCAAATTTCAAGTCAACTAATAACAAAGGTTTATTTGTATCATATTCTATTCCTTTGTATTATATGAAATGTAATGTATTGCATTGTACTTTATTTTACTGTATCTTGCTGTACTATATTGTATCATATCATGACATATTGTTTGAGGCTGTATCATATTATGCCATATTGAATAATATCATATGGTTTTGTATTGCATGGTATTTTATCATACTGTATTCTATTGCGTCATATCATATCACATTGGGCTCTTTTTTCGTGCCTTGCCGGCGACACGGCGCATGCGCGGCGTAAGTCAGGTCCGCCGCGCCGACAAGGCATTCCCAAGCACGATTGGGTATCCTCCACACTCTCTCAAATAAGCACAGATGGATTTGGTGTGTGTAATGTTGGACCCACTAGTAAGACAAACAGCCTTTCCACAAACAAAGACACTCACATAAAGTTGCATATATTCAAACCTCACATGACAAAGGTGGGTTGTGCGCACAGATCACAACATAAATTCCAAAAATGGCATTAAAATCAGAGCCATCTGTGCGTAATGACGCATAGTGCTCCGTGGCCTGGCTCTTTCTTTCATAGATGTTGGCATATAAAATAAATTTGGCCCACAAAACTGAATATTATAATATCTGTATGTCGGCTTAAAGTAAATAACTCATCTGAGCACTGAAACAAATCATCTGTTCAGCCGCCGCAGCTGCAGCAGGACGGAGAGAGGACATGGAGACATGTCCAGGTCGAGCTGTGTGAGAAATAAGAGGAAGAGGAAGAAAAAAAAGGAGGGATACGAATTACATGTCTTGTTAACTTCATCATGTGTGTCTATTCACAAGATATTTAATTTAATTTAATGCAGTTTCAGCTGTGTTGATTCGGTCAGGTTGTGTGTCCAAATGCGTGCCAAACGCGCTCATCAGATCAGATATAGATCAGAATATATCTTTATAGATCTAAATGTATGTGCTGACTCAGATTATTAGTTGTTGATGATTATTTATTGCACTGAAATGTGCCTGACACTGTGGAAACCTGCCGGTGAGGCATTGGTGACGTATGCTGATACGCCGCCGGTCTACCAAAATACCACGGTAAAAAAAATAATACAGCGAGCACGAAAATGTCACCGCGGCAGCTGATTCTGTCGACACCTCCCCCTGCCACGCCACCACGCCCAGCTAGGCGGATCTCGGTGCACCTCAGTCCAAGAAAATACCAAACTGGCTGTTCGCCGGGCTCCACCAGACAAAATTACAACTGCGCGGGGTCCACTTCCCTCTGCTGCGTCCCCAGCGTACACGAAAATAGAGCCCATAGTATCATATCATGGTATAACTTATTGTATTTTGTTAAACCATACTGTATCATATTGTATCATTTGACACCATATTGTATTGAGTTAGATTGTGTGATGCCTTATTATGAAGTAATGCATTTGGCTATACTGTATCCTATGATATTGTTATGTGTTATATCGTATTTGGCTGTTGTAAATAATTAAATCATAGTCTATGTTACATTGCATTATTGTATCATATTGTATTTTGCTGTATCGTATCATATTAAATTATACTGAGTTATACCTAATTGTATCACGTTATATCTTATTTTGTTGAATTGAATGTAATGTACCATGTCATACCATATTGTAGCGTATCATAACATACAATATTATCTTATCATGTCTCATTGTATTAACCGTCACTTTATGGTGTTCTTCTACACTGTGTTGGATTTTATGCTATCATATCATGCTATACTGTATACTGTTCATATTGTCTTGTATGGTATTGTATTCTATAGTATGCCATAGTATTTTATTGTCTCACTGATGGTACAAACACAGAGTTTTTATGGTAACATGACGAGCGCACTCTTTATTTATGTTACATTATGCTATTAACCAACACACTTTGTAACATGTTAGTTACAGTTTTTCTTTTGACTTTTTTACTTATCTGTTTTTAATGACTTATTTACTTTACTTACCAAAATACTACTAGAGATGTGGCTGATGTTTATGTAGAAACTGACACTTGTGCTATATTTTATCATTTTCCTCCTGAATGGAAGTACAAAGATGTTTTTGGAGCATACATCAACCTTTAAAATCAGCTTTAGTAGATTTTATGATGTTACAGGACTGCCTCAAAACAGGTTCCACGACTGAAGCTAGTGACTTCTCTTCTGAGTCACATTTTTAAGCGTGGGGTCACAGACAGTGACATATTTGGAAAGCCAGGAGAGAAGAAGGGTGTTTCCAAAATCAAAACAAATGCCAACAACACTGTTGCAGCTTCAGTCTGCTCTAAAGATAATTAGCTGAAAAATAACACTGACTGCTTGAGGTATTATTCAACATGAGCTGTTTTAAAAGCTCTGAAGGTTGTTAAACAATGAATGTAACATTTGAAACAATGTGAAATGAGCTCACTATCATGTCAGGTACTGGGAGGAACCTGCATCTAACATCATTCAACAGAGAGAGAATCAAACTGCTCTACAAGGGGTGATATCTTTTTCATCTCCTGCAACGCCCTTCTTCAACTATTTGCCGGCATAATTAGCTGGCATAATCAACACTGTACTGCTTTGTGGTGATAACAGTGCACATCACTTTGTGTAACTGTAGACTGAATAGAGAGCAAAGGGGGTGACTCTCACTCAGTTCCAGAGCCAAGGTTAATCAATACAGCTGACCCAAAGCAGCACAAGGCTAACAGCACATGATCTAAAGAGCATACTAATTCAGTCCTGATATATTGATGAATTTTAAAAGAATCGCTGGTTTTATGAAAGAGCTGCCAGGGCCATGCTTTTGTTTCATAGGATACATACTTCTGCTCCTCAGTTCAGGGTGTGTCAGGCCTGAGACTAGTTTTCATTGAAATTTAGAACAGAGACGTGCAAGGACATACACAAGTGACCACATCTGAGGATTTAAAGCAGTGCAAATGAAAACAGTCCCCTGTGTTTGTTGTTACTAATGCCCCATGTTTGCAGTGTGGTGTTACTCACCAGCTCTCTCTGTTAGTTTAAATCAAAAAACAACACAATCTCCTGGCTACTCTAATTAACTTTAACTGTCATGTTTCCCTGTTTACTTTGTGGTGACACAGATGAAGCTGCCGGCTTGGTGAAAGGCCATGTTGTTGTTTTTTTCTTCTCAAAAACCCCTGCAGACTTTTTCCTTCTTACATCTAACTCACTATCATTACATTTCTTTGAGCAGTGGTTGGCAATTTGTGTCGATTGTTTCCCTGGATTATTCATGTCAGCTGTCACTGAGCACATTTTGTGCAGAACACAAGTATCTTTAATTAAGTGTAGCGTTCTTCTCAGGGTGTGCCTGAGAAAGAAAATAACTGACAATACGCCCTCTCTTGTAAGTTTAGACCCACTCCCATCCCATCTTCAACCACGTGAGTGTAACACTGCAGCATTTAGCAAATTACAGTGGAGAGGAAGAACTTTATTTAAAAGGCAGAAGCCTCGAGCAGAACCAGACTTATGTTAGACAGTCATCTGCTGAGACTGAGCTGGGGTTAGAGAGGGGACAAAGGGAGAAAGAGAGAGATGGACAGAGGAGAGACTAATAAAGGGAGATGAAGAAAGCGAGAGATGGACAGAGTAAGCCTGATGCAGGTAGTTGAAAAGAGGGAACCTATGGCATGATGGAGCTCAGGGACTCCTATCAACTAATGGTTGATTTCATTACTTTGTACAACCAGCCTTTCTCAGTCAGTAGTGAATGCAGTAAGTCCTGTCTCCTTGACCCCACATTTCACACCCTGTCCATTTGTACAGCAGAGGTCAATCTATACTTTTACCATAAATTAACGAAGGAAAGTGATATACTTGGTTTAGCAGCAAGGTGCCAGCAGTATGGATCTCAAACAAACTTGAAAGAGTTGCCTTGGGAGCAGGAAAACATTATTAGCTGGCCTAAGTAAAATTAGGAAGTGGAAGATATCCTTTGGTCCTTTTGTTGACTTGAGATATTTTTGTGGAATCCGAAAATGGAAAAAAAAAAAAAGGTTTGCAGCTCTAGTATTGTGGACAAGGTATTGTAATGGGGTTCTTATACTTAGAATTTAAAGATATTGAGTGTGATGAATTCAATTGCCAGTGTAATGATGAAGAACAGCAAGATTTCCCTGTAAATAGTGATCTTAATTCAACAGAGACACATAGACCTAAACAAACCATTAGCCCGTCATCTTTGCACACAGGCAACACATATCCAAAGTAACTGCCATGCACATGTATTTTACACATTGTTTTTGCTGTCCACACAAAAATGACTGAGAAGAATTTTCAGAGATATTTTTCTTGAAAACTATGTCAGAAAACCTTCCATCCACATCAAACTCCGTTCACAACTCCAACTTTATTTTGAACGGGAGGTTCAAACCCAGAGGACAAAACTGCTTTTTTTAAAAATACTTGTATGCGTGGACATGGCCTTAGTCTGTATATTGACTGGTTGGAAATTACTGGTCTAGAATATGGTACTTTCAGGTTGTGTTTCCCAAAATGGTGACAGCCATTGTTGGGCTTTGAAACCTCTTTTCAGGAACCAGTGGGTGGTGTTGCAGAGGCTACATCCATGTTTATATAGTCTCTGGTTTTACTCACTGGAGCGCAGAAGAACAGAGTATGCATAGCGGATTTTATTTTATTGCAACCATTGTGTGGTGATCACTAACTGTGATTACAAGATCCTGAATACTAGTTTATGAGCAGTTGGTATTCATTTGTTTTTCTGTGTTTCCGCAGTGTATACATGGTTAAAAACCACCACAAGATCCAGTCAATCAGAATAACATCAACACTTTCACAGCCCTGTACCTTTTGTACACATGATTCAACAGCTTCAAATACTTTTACATTTTTTCTTCCTGGTAGTTTTGTTTACCACTCGGCTTTCTAGCAGTGCATTTGTGCCAGTCGATATCCAGATCACAGCCAATTCTGGAGCATGTACAGAAAAAAAGGCCCCTTCCTTGTTATTAAAGTGTGTTATTCTGACTGTGAGAAAGTTGATGTAGTGTGAATTCAGTCAGACCAGCATGTATTCCCTGTTTAACATGCATCCCTTAGCCTCCTGCTGATGTGTTTGTTTTGTTTATTTATTTATTTATTATAATTGGTGATTGTACTCACTGTCCTCACTTTTGATGACGTTTGGTTAAGGAGTTTAATTGGCTAAATTGAACATGATTAGAGGTGTGGCTGGTTTGAGGTGTAGGTGTGTTTTAGCTGTACGCAAGGCGAAGACTGTGGCCTCAACTCTGTCTGTAAATCGGTGTCTGGATTGACTAGAAGTTAGTCAAGGTCAGCTTTTCCTGTACGGTGGCCAGCGTTGAGCTCGTGACATAATGGTAGTAACTCGTTACAGTTACTAGTTACTTTGTAAAAAACAAGTAACTTAGTTTGTAACTCAGTTACTTAAACCAAAAAGTAACGCATTACTGAGAAAGTAACTTTTTAGTTACTGTAAAATGTTCTTCCAATGCTCCTATTACATAAAGGTGGATTGATTAAGTTCCCCTCAAGCCATTATTTTAGTTCTGTACTGATGCTGAATAAAACAAATTGTTGATTAAAACAACCGTTTCAATTCATTTGCATCTGTATCGCTGAATCTAATCATCTAAGCAATACGATCCGTTGTGTACCAACACAAACCTCGACACTAAAACTAAAATCTTACCATTGGACTCTTGGATTAATAGCCTGATATCACTAAAAAGATCCAAATAAACAATTAAACATGCCATGCTATTTTTTTATCAAGTTGTGCCTGGCTATGGGTCCATCTTTCAAATTCCAACCACTGCTGCTTAGGTGGAGTGGGTGTGTGCTCGCTGCTGTGACTCTCGGTCTTGGATGCTGCGTTACCCTAGCTGCTATCTTGTTGAAGCATCGCTTTTCCCTAGATGCTTCAGTAGATTGCTGTTGCTGTTGTTTACCATAGGAAGGATTTTTGACCCAGGACACATATTATATGTTACCCAAATGTTGTTTTTCCCTTTGCCCTCGAGTTAAAAATAATGAGTATCTCCATGAGGAGAAACTTATCTTCCCCTTCTCCCTCGCCATCATGCCGTGCTCTGACGTGTCCAGTCCTCTTCATGACGTGTGTTTGATTATGTGTGTGACACTAGAGGTTGACAAGTGCTTTGTTTTTCAAATTCAATCAAACTTTATTGATCGCTAAAATGTTATGGGAACTGGGTGCCTTTCTAAAACCTCACCAAAAGGAACGGAGAAACGCAGCGTTTGGTAAAAGAAATGGAGTTTCTGAATTTAAAAAAAACAACACGTTGCATTATTAGTTACTGCAAAAAGTAACGGCGTTACTAATAACACATTATACCCAGCACTGATGGTGGCTACCATTTTTGAGTCAGTGAAGCCTCTTTGGACATGAATGGGTGATCTCACTTGGAGTACATCTCTGTTTGACTATGTCACTGGAGTTTTCGGTCGAGTGAGGTTGCAATTGTGTCTCTTTTTTTCTCCCTGAAGTTTGGCATTCTTACTCTAAAGCACTTTGAGTCTTGTGAGGAACATTTAACAACAAATGATGAACTATTGAGTCATAACTTCAAAGCAGTTTGAGGTGTTTTAAAATACTTGAGCTCCTCATTACCCTCATGCAGTATTTGATCCTTTTCTCCATGTTCTGCCATTAAAACTTACAATTGTTTTGGGATTATTTTGTCAAACAAGTAGCTCAAACTTGGATAAAATAACTTTTTTTAATAGAGAAATGAAAGATATGCTAGTCAACTATCCCACATCCCTTCAAGAAATAGAGATTAATTTGAAGGTAATCATAAGTGTGAAAATTGCTGTTATCTTCTGACTATTGCTTTGACTGCTAACGGCCTGTCTGGCTCTGAAGTCGTCCCGGTAATAAATATTCATATACCTTTCAGGGTCTTTGTTGTGTTGACTACCTTCCATCAGTCTGATCTGTTGTGGCACTAGGAAAAAAACACAAATTAAGGAAATAAATTAAGGAAAAAAAATCTAAGTAAATATATAAATAATGATGACAATGAGGGAACGGGGAGAAATTTGGAACATCAAAGGCTCCTCTATCTTTGCAGCATGTAAACAGTGCGTGCCTTCAGTAAGAGGAAGAGCCCCTTTTCATGATCCCATGGAAGATTGCCACATCGACAAGCATCCTGTAATAAATAAAATTAACAAACATTTCTGTAGGGTCTTTTCAAAGGGAAAGAGAGCCCAATGTTTTTTATTCAGATAAGTGGTCTATACATCCCCTGCTCCTTCCTGATTAGTCTAATCCAGTGAGAAGTGCGTGCAGGGTTTTGATTGAGTCAGCCGTCGAGGACCCTGAGGGGAACCCTCCTGATAAGTGCCTTTACCTTTCACCTCCAGAACCCCACGCACGTCGCTTCGCCATATCCCACTCCCTCTAATCTCATTTGGCCCAGGAAGACATGCTCAGGCACAAGAAGCTACGATTAGCATCCTCTTTACCCAGGGATTCCACCGGCTTGGACTGCCAGTGCTGCCCTCAACCTGAGACGCTGAAGGCGCTAAATCAGCCAGGTGCTCCTCAGTGTGTGTGTGTGTGTGTGTGTGTGTGTGTGTGTGTGTGTGTGTGTGTGTGTGTGTGTGTGTGTGTGTGTGTGGCTGCATCCACCCCCTGTAAGTGTTTGTGTGTTTGACAACTTCATATTAAAAGGTGTGTTGCCTCTGTCTTGATTCTCTGTTGTGTGTTGTCTGAGTGTAACTGGTTGGCACTTTTGCCAAACATTTACATCTATATTGTAAGACATGACCTCGATGTCATGGCTGCAGACCAGATTTGAGAAACACTGACGTCCAAAATCTTAAAGCAGAACCGCACCTACCCATAGTTAATTCAACTAGACACCAATTCAACTTTAATAGTCATTGTGAAAAATCACAAAATTTTACACCTTTTTATGCATTCAATTGTTTGAGTTTAGTTTCAACCATGGAAAAAGTCAAATCACCTGACATTGAAAACACCAGTTAGCTTTAGATTACTCCAACATAAGCAGTATGTGCACAGTCATAGGAAATAGACTCATTTTGAGCCACTGAACCTGAATAATTTACCAAAATATCACCAAGAGGTACTTCATACAGATGTTAATATGTTCATTATCTGTGTTTAGATTACTTCTACAGATGATCTCCCAGTCATTCGTTAGACGTGATGCCAAACATTTTTGGAAATTCCTCATTTCCTGGAGTCCAGAATCACGCCACCTTCATGCATTTTTAAGTCCTTTTTTAATGCTGTAGATGATAAGAGGTGGAAAAAATGTACAGTTTCATTACTAGTTAGTTAAAGAAGTTAAAAGAAAGTTAAAGAGTTAAAGAAACTCTGTCACATATTAAAAGTGCAAGTTTACTAAGTAAAATCATCACCGGACTTAAAGTACTGGAGTTGTGCATATCAAACCACTTCTTTTAAACCTCAATATGTGGTTTTGTCACAGTGCATGAGTGCAGTCAAGGATGAAACTGAGTATTAATATCAAAACCTCAAACACAGGCCTCCCAGGAGGAGAATCGCCAGTTTTCTATGTTGTAGCCAACCATATTAACACTAGATGAACTGCTTAATGTGAGTGACATTAACTCTGCATTTGCTTTATGTACAACCAAGGAGATGTACAAGTACGGCAACACCACTCAGACAAACCAGCCAGAGAACAATGTCAAAACTTCATTCGGGGACTTCAGAGCAGAAGTATAGGGACTATGACGGTCATTGATAGAGATGAAGTGGAGTCAAAAGTGTCTCTGATGGTGAATAAAGGGAAATATCTGGGGTACATTATTAGGAATGTTTTAGGGGATAATGATCTGCAGCACCAGTGCTGCAAACTGCACAAGCTAACATGCTAACAATGTCCCGACATGCCATAATGTACTGATGAGTTTTATGTATAAATTCATGTGTTGATGAACTGATTCAGGAAATTAAACCTAAAGGGAGCTCACTTAACTCACATTAAGGTATTTCTCTACTTACTGGAAACATTTTTGTGTTTGATCACTGTGGATGGTTAAACTGTAGCTGTTTTATCTTTGTTTTTGCTGTTCCTGTATTTTGACATATTTTCGATCTTTTATGTTGATGTGGACCTATGGATCTTTATGAAAGTATTAAATTATATTTGTCTTTCAAATAAAGTGGAGTCATAAATAATAAGTAAGTTAAGAACAAACACTTAAAAATTGACTCAAGTAAATGTACTTTGTTACTGATGGTGAAAAAGAAAAACTAAGGGGGTTGAGACCAGCAAACAGTTGGAAAATTTGACAGAAAAATTTATGAAAATGTGAATTAATGTTCAAAATAGTTAGGGATTTATTTTCTTTTAACTGCCTTTCTGATGACTTTTTGTTGCAGCTCGACTCTCAGAGCCGGGCAGTTGTTCGGTAGTCCCAGTCCAGAACATAAGCATTTACTTTAGGTGTGAGGGAGTGTTTACACCGCAATCAACAGCTTATCAGCTACAGATCGAACTCATGTGATCATATCTGTCTTTGTACTCATCATCCACCATGCTATCGTTGTGTCTATGGTCACGTTATGATGCATCAGTTCACCGTCTTTCTCCATGAGGTGTTTTGAAAAGATCAGCTGGGGCGATTTTCCTCACCCAAAGAAGTAACCAGTGATTAAAGAGTCATGTTAGCGCATGAGCTCATACTGTACAGTGGGTCCAAGTGTTAACGTAATGTGTCAGCTCTCAGAGCAAGGCTAAAGAAATAAATAAGATGTCACAAGTCAGTGATGATTCTCTCGTACTCACCTAAACTTTGATAAAATATTCCCGCATGCTGAACATGATAGAAAAAAATGAAGTTGTAAGAGCAGCTTTATTTGCCAAATACCTGGTTTTGACCACAATCTTAGTGATCTGAAACGCTTTTTAGCCCTAAACTTCACTTTTAGTAACTCCTCCAGTGGTTTGATTTCCTATTTTAGAGTCTTTTTCCATTTTGAACCGTGTATCTTATTTGCATCCTGGGTCAATCTTAGACCACATTTCTTTTCATTATAAAGACATGTACACCATATGGGATGTAAATCTTGATAACTTAAATCAGGTCTACAAAACTGGAGGAGATATTAGGGTATATGGGGTGTGCACTATGGTAATACGTGGACTAAAATTGCTAAGCCAAACATGAAACTTATTAGAATTGCATAACTTCAGAGTAAGCTTGGACAACAAATAATTCACCGCCTGCAGTAATTTCACACTCACAGTGAGCATTTTGCATTTTTTTTTTTAATATTAACAGAGAAATGCAGCAGAAGTCTTGTGCAAGAAAAAAACTTGATGACTCGAGAAGCTTCTGGAGAATTAATGAGCGAACAGAGCAACAAAAAACTCTGTCATCCAAATGATTTGATGTATGGAAAGTTTATGCTGCATGAGCATTCAGGGAGTGTATATAAGCAACAAAGACAGCACAATAACTCAAAAGTTTCCACTGTGTGAAATAAAGCACACACACACACACACACACCTGCCCCTACTGTAAATTATGACACAGTGCTTAATGTATGGAGGGTGTCTGAGTAAGCAGGACGTGCACACTGCTGATACATATGCATGAGAAAATCAAGCAGACAGATAGCTGCTGTGTGTGTGTGTGTGTGTGTGTGTGGGTGTGGGTGTGGGTTTGGGTGTGTGTGTGGTTTGAGTTTGTTCACAGGCTCTGAATCAGCAGCTTCTGATCATCAAACACTGTGAAAACAGTTGGTAGTTGCACCTTGTGACTCATTATCAGTTTAACAAGAATGTAATAAATGTAGCAGAAACTTCACATTTGTTTCACATTTCAACTTTTCTACTTTATAAAAATGATCCAGGATAAACTTCACCATCCCTGCACTCGGCTAAATCTTGAGTTGCTCTTAAAAACGTGTTAAAAACACACCTGCTCAGATGGACGTTTGGTTTATTACCCCTCCTCTTTCAATTTAACACGAGCGATTGACACTTATATGTAAGGACTCTGGCTGTTTTCTTTGTGTGTATTTTATTTGATCTAATTTTTTAAAATTATCTTTATGTAAAGCACTTTGTGGCTTTTTGTCTGTGAAGAGCACTGTATAAATAAACTTTACAAACTCATCCACTGTTGGCCTATATTGCGGTTTTAGCGTGTACCCCATAGAGGCAGTATCAATTCCTGATCCCAGCAGTCCTCCCTCTCTCCCCTCACATAAATAAAGTGCCTAAAAGTAACCCCCAACTAAACAAAGATAACTTTACCCCATAAAACTGTTAACCCAGCTCTAAATATAACTAAGATCATGCTGTGTTAAGAGGCCACTTAGTGCCGTTGTCTTGCAGCTGCGGGGTCCCTGGTTCTCAGCCTTAGTGAAACACAGTGTTGACAATGTTAAATTCAAATATAACTAAAGTTATACAAGTCTCCAAGTTTTTCTAGTTGTCTCAATTCATTCATCTTAAAATTTAAAGGCAGCCTGGGTGCTAACTTATTTTAGCTCCCACGACACATTTCTTCCAGTAAAATACTGTCTGTTACTACATGTCAAAGTTGAAAGTAGGGCTGCATGATGAGTCCAAAATATCAGTATTTATCTCTATTACAATAGCTCAGTCAAAGAAGATGCAGAAGCTGCAGGGAGTTAGAAGAAATTCTTGGACGAAGGGATGCTGAATATAAAAGCTACCAGTGCTGTTTCACTGATTCATTAAAACTAATGTTACTGATTGACATGAATTGAGGGGGCATTGACAGCAGCTGTTGAGGATTATTTTGAATATTGTTTGTTTCAAGTGGTTTGAAAACAATAGACCAATGACAACACCGGCCAAAGACTGACTTCAGTCTTTGTCTTGTTTGTTTGATATGTTCTCAATATAGTTGTATATCTGTGCTGGACCGCAGCTCGCCTCTTTTATATGAGTGTAAGTGAGTGTTAGAGTAAAAACAGCAGTCTCCATCCTGCAGCTTAGGATCCATGCAGGGCCTACATGACAAATCCGAGGAGTCAGTCTGTGGTCCAGGGAAGACAGAAGAGAGAGCTTTACTGTTAGAAAATGACTCCTGAAGTTGGACTTTGTTATTGAATGATGCCTCATCTTTTTCTTTCTCTAAAGGTTTAGCTCAAAAAAACATTTAAGCAGTCTTTGATCGATCTGGGCACCATGTTGAAATTTGTAATGAGTGCTGGAGTCAGAGGTGAAGAGCTTCATATTTAGGGGCCATACATACTTTAGAAAATAAAAGCACTATGATTCAGAGGAGATCAGACTTTTCAGACTAATCTGGATTTAAATCTGTTTCATTCGCGAAATGTGAACGCACAAACAAGGATTGAACTCACTTAACCTTTGGTCTATATGTACAAACATTAAACATAAAATTATCATTAAAACAGACTTTCAACATTATACCTATATATACAGGGCTACATTACACATCAGAATAGTACGTACAAACCCTTGTAAGATAACAGTGTAGTGGTGAGAAGTTAATCAGAGTCAGATCCTTGTATACGTGCACACACACTTGGCCAAAAGAGTTGAACCTGATTTGAAATCTAAATCTGGGATTGGAGGCTCCTCAGTCACCAAAAAGAAAAATAAGTAAATAAAAATCAAATAAATGACCCTAAAGTGATGCCAGTTTTCTCTTACCCATTGACTTTCATAGGATTTCCACCTTTTCCCTGGAAAAAAGTACCTTGAAAAATAAAAAAAATCAAGTGAACTACAAACACATTTTATTATGAGGACCTAAGTTTAAGGACACAAGAGAAGGAAATATCCATTTCAAGTCTAACATCCTCACTTACAACCCAAAATAAGAGTGATTTTTCTTAGTGTGTCTTTACAATAGATAATAATGAGTAATTTTAATAACTTTAAACATTTGAAGGGTTGATTCAAAAACTTTGGATGAAATAATTTATACTTAGACTTTGCACTCACATCATCCTGGACCGTCCTACACCAAAGAGCAGCTCCGTGTAGCAAATGTTGTGGTGTGTATGTTTTTTTAATATTCTAATTATAAATGCTAATTATTATATTGTTTTCATCTGATTCTAGTTAGGGTTCATGTCTTTTATAAAGCTACTTTGAAATGGCGTTTGACTTTTAAATATCTGTACTTATCTATTCCGTTTTAATTTCTGTTGTTATTCTGTGTTTTGGAACCGAAACATCATTTCAAATATTCTTTCTCTGTGTGAAAGCAGCTTAGAAATAAACCCGCTTCTTATTCTGGAGGCTCCTTCCAGTGCATCAGTGCGACATCAGGCCATGATTTTCAAGGTTCAAGGCCTTGAAAAAGCTTTGATGAGGTCGCATCGTGATATCTTTTTTTTCCAGGAAAATAAAAGACAAAAAAATTTTATCAAATTTGCAAATATTGTCCTCAGCCCTAAAACAAGTGCAGCGATCAGTCCGGAACAGAGACTGAACCTGATGGATGAGAGCACAGGAGTGTGCACGCACGCTGTCAAGTGAAGTGCGTCATATGATCCTTTAACGCCGCTTTTCTCTGTATCCGATGAACTTCAGTGGATTGACCATATACTGTTGGACCCGGTGCACACGTGGATGTGTTAGTAGGTGATGAATAAATAAAATAAGCACACACACACATAGAGAAACACACACACACACACACACACACACACACACACACACACACACACACACACACACACACACACACACACACACACACACACACTGTTTTCTTCCTCTCTCTGTGTCGGAGGAGAATAAAGTCTTGGTGTAAATCACTTTTCCGTCTGGCGCAGCACATTAAACAGCCGTGGCGTGATTCCTTTTCTCTCAGCTCATCCGTTCCCTTTCTTCTTTATCAGCTCGTTCACTATTTCATTTCTTTCAAATGAGAATTCAGGGACCCCCAAATTCAAGCCCCCGCGTCTTCAAACAACACAACTGTACGGTTTTACTTTTCCTCCCGTCAGACTGCTATCCCAGATTCAATTTTAGATAGAGCAGGATTTAGCCAGTGATGATTTTTGGAGGTCTTTCGGAGACAATATTTAATATGCTGAAATGAGATCAGTTTTTATCCCTCCTAAAAATAATTTCTCTGTGTATTTTTTTTGTCAAATATCGCGTTGTGGTGTGCGTAAAATGGATGCATCTTTGATAAGCGAGCTTATTTTGAAGCATAAAATTGTTCTTTTTTTCCTCTAAAGAAGCAACAATGACAGTCATCTTCATCAGTAGTATTTTTTCTTCCTCCTCCTCTCCTCGAGGGGACATTTTCCTTTTGATTTGGGAAATTAGCACGCCTTGATACAAAACCACATTCTCAACAGCCACTTATCAAACTCCATTTACTGCAGATGATTTCAGGGTAACATTAAAAGACAATAATGTAAATGACCCATGGCTTTTTAATTAAAAATGCATTGTCCCCCCTCCCCCTCTTTGCGCTATTTTTTGTTTCATCTGTTTTACATTTTTTTGGACTCTGAGTGTTGTGCAGGGAGAAGTAAAAGCGCCTCTTTAGCTCGGTGTCTCCCTCCTCGTTGACTTTTATCACCAAATGAAGCATATAAATGACCTGAAAGCGCAGGCTGTCGCGTTAAATTAAATAAAATAAAGAACAATTATCCTCTCCTTTTTCTCTGATCTGGCGCGTAAAAGGAGTCCTGGAGAGATAAGGCAGATTGAATTCTCTCTGTTGTGCTCCAATAAAAACGTCAAGGGGGAAAGAGAGATTTAAACCCACACCCCCTGCTATAATTTCAAATCATAATTTCCCTCCCATTATACCTCTCAGATGCCGTTTATCGTTGAGGTTATTTATTTCAGGGCGGTGAAACCACACTCAATTTCCGTGACTAAGTTGGATAATTACAGGTGGTGTGAGAGCAGCCGGCAAAACTTGAAACAGCTTTAATGAAATATAAAGAAAGAAAAACCGGGATGGGTACAGCAGTATTTATACAAAAGGAGGGTTCTACTTTCGTTTTTAATCGTGCAAAAATAAAATCCACGTCTGCTGTTCCTCCTGGAAGTAATTATAATTGTCTCATTTCAAAGTTGAATAAGGACGCTTAAGGGGTTTGGTGTAAAACTTAACATTCGGTTCAATGAAGTATCACCCTAATTTACAGCTCCAGATAAGGACTAAGTCTGTCATAAAAATCTCCCCCTCCTTCTCTCCCTCCCTCCCCTTCCCATCTTTCCTCCCCAGGATTGAAATTGCACCTTGGGCAATAGTGCAGAATCGTGAATCTTAACTTCTCTCAGCATATGTTCCTGGCAGATAAGTAAACAATTTGGATGTGGAATGAAATTTTTAATTAATACTACACTCGTGCAGGATGAGGGTATATGTGTAGGCTGCACCGTTTTGCGTAAATCCTGATCTCTATTAGCAGAGAGGATGGAGAAAACGCGCCGAATTCGTATTAAAATCTGTAAACGTTTGTTTAATAATTTGGCTTGTGCGCTGTTTCCATTCAGTATTATCTTAATGGGAGTCAGGCCCATCATTCACAAGTTTACACAGGTTTGAACATGTGTGAATGAGTTGGCGATAAGAGGCGTTTGGCGGGGTTTTGGCTGCAGCTCCACATTTGTTTTAAAAAAAAGTAAACACACACACAAGCAGAGATATCTAAACCGCACAGTAGCTTGTGGTGTGCAGCTCCCCAACCAGCCTATGAGTTAAAGGAGAGAAAAAATATCGGCTCACATTCAAGTTGCTCCATTAGTTAAACCTATAATTAAGAGGATGGCTCCCTCCTTGAAGTGATTAAGCAGTCAGACAAGTCGGACGGGCGGAATCCCTCCAGGGAGGCCTCTCCTCTCCTGAACTGTCAAACATCAAAAGATCACAACCGGTTCATCCCAGAGTCACAAAAACACCTTCACACTTCTGCACTGCACCGCGGAACATGTCTCAAACCTGTTTCAAACTATTGAAGAAGAAGAAAAAAAGCAGCCAAACGCGGAGGTAATTAAGCCTCGTTAGAGAAATGATCAGAGTGGAGGAGTTTGACAGCTTAAACAAGCACACGCCAGAGAAAAGGGTCGATCAAGAGGAAGGGGATTATTGTTTTACTACAAGGCGAGTTTTTGAATGTTTAGTCCATAGCCTATCAATTATATTGATCAGTAAAGGGTCAAGTGAGGTCTCACATTTGCGCGTACAAATGCCCATTTTTGTTCCAAAAATTCACGCGTTATTTAAATTGATTATTTTGTGACTAATGCCCCAATTTTAACTCTCAAAATATATTTAATTTACCATTTTATTACACAAGACTGAAGTTCCCATAATTCTGTTTCTTTCTTTGCCATCTGCAGTACCCAATAACCTCCAAATACAGCAAATGTGTAGCGTTGAAGACAGATTGTCTTTATTCGAAATGCCTTTGCTCAGCTTGTGAACAAAGAGCAGGAGGTATCAACCTTCTAAATACATTATCCTTTCCATAACATGACAGGTTTTTAAATTATCATCTCAGATGATGATAATACACATATGAACTTCTGGGATTCAAATAGAAGTTATCCTTAAAAAAACAAAATACAAAAGTAAAGACGTGTGTGAGTATATCAGCACTGAACCACAGGAAAATGCAAACAAAAACATTTGGATGTAAAAGAATTTTTTTTCTTCTTCTTGTCGTCCTCTTAAATAGACCGTCTTGTTGTATGTGCCAGTTTTTGATAAATATAAACAATATGACCCGTATATAATCCAGCCTAAAGGTCCTGATTTTGACCAGCAGAATAAAATTACGAGTGCCAAAATGTAGACTACTCAGGCCTATACAGGAAAGAAGATGCGCATTGTGCAAGCCAAATTTTCAAAATAAAAGAGTACCCTATCGATAATCAACACAAATCAGCATATTGGCATTGAAATGTACACAATAAATAAAGTTAAAGGCCTCCTTTTCTGGCTGCCATATAACATTTACATTTCTTACAGTTCACAGGGCACCGTCCTTTAAATCCAGTTCCTGCTGCTCAGCTCAGGAACTTGTTGGATTTCTGCAAAAGTTTTCTTTTTTCCTCTTTTTTTTTGCCATAACAAGTCCAAGGCAGGTAATACTGTTCATGCCTTTTAAACCGGGCGCGCTGTCCGTGTTATATTTACATGCATTTCAGTATTCAAGTGAATTAGAAAAAAAGACAAGAGTCTTGAGGGTTACATGGCAGTGGCGTGTGCGGATGAGTATGGGTCTATCCCAGTCTTGGTCATACCTGGAAAAAGTATGTAGGCCACCGGGGGCTGTAAACTGGACGCTGACCAAGCTGTGCAGTTACACGGGACCACATAGCCGGGGTTTGTGGGCGACGGGTGGGTGTGGGTATGCTGACTGGGACACCCAAGGGTGCCGAACGCGCCGTTCTGGTATCCCAAGGAGGACGCGTACGGCAAAGTGCTGGTGCTCAACGTGTGGGGCATCTCTGTCATCTTCTGGATGGCGCTGGAGCTGAACTGGCTCGGGTCGAGGAAGGAGTACGGAGCAGACGTCGGCGGCAGAAATGCGCGTGCTTTATCCGAGGGGCCCAAAAGAGAGTCCGCTGCTGACACAGGGAGTCCCTTCAGGTGGTCAGTGTCTCCGAGGTAAGGCAGAGGGAAAACGTACCTGTCCTTCTTGAGCAGGTTTTTGGGTTTGCGCCGGGGTCTGTACTTGTAGTCGGGGTGCTCCTTCATGTGCTGAGCCCGCAGCCTCTTGGCCTCGTCGATGTAAGGTCTCTTCTCGGACTCGGAGAGCAGCTTCCACTCGGCACCCAGTCTTTTGCTGATCTCCGAGTTGTGCATTTTAGGATTCTCCTGTGCCATTTTCCTCCTCTGGCCCCGGGACCAGACCATGAACGCGTTCATGGGTCTCTTGATATGATCAGCAGGCTTTGACATCTTTAAAAAAGTGCGCTTTTATCCTCAATGTTAATGACGAGGAAAAGTTCTTACCAGAAGGAAGGAAGGGAAACTATTCACCTGTCCAGATGCCAGATACCAGTCATGCCACGTCTGGGATGTTCTGAGTCAGGAAAAGAGTAAAAATAAGACAGAATAAAATAAAAATCCAGCGGTTGATTTGCTTTCTCCCGAGTTAAAACACTGATGCGCGTTCGTTCAAGTCCAGTAACAACTCTCTTTCAGACCTGCGGAGAGCAATACAGGAAAAAAAACACATGGAAGATGCACACACGTAAAAAAAATCCTCAAAGGTGAAAGCAATGTTCCGCAGTCAGTTTGCAGGAGTCGTAAAAGTGTGATTTTTTCTGCGACACACTCTTCTCTCTCTCTCTCTCTCTGAGGTTTGTCGTCAAGCACCTGGCTTGGAAATGAGCGGAAGAGCGTGAATACGAGCCAAAAGCGGTGAAGTTCAAAGGCTGGGCTGGTTTGGTTTCTGCACGCAATCTGACATAATCTGCAGGGCGTTCACTCACCAACCTGAGCGCCCAATCAGCACGAAGAGCGCCTATTATAATACCTTCACCAAAAAATATATGTACATTACAACATAAACAAAGAGCGGCTGGTAGTAAGAGGAAAAAAAGGAAAGAGGGATGTGTGTGTTTGTGTGTGTGTGAATGTGAGTGTACGTGTGTGAGGAGAGGGAGGAGGAGGGGGGTGATACTCAGGATCCCTCCCTGATTCTATTTAATGTAATGAATCGCAACAAACATGGACCTTCAACCTCTTTTCCACTTAAAACCTGACTTCAATCCAGGGAGGTGACTTTACCGCGCAGCCAATTTACGCACAGCTTTACGTTCAAATATAGGAGTCTATCTCCAAATTACAATCAGAATGGCCTTGAAATAGTTATTTGGATGTAATCTAATAATGACTATGTTAATAATATTAATAATTGTGAAAAAAATAATAATTATGATGATAATGATAAATGTCAAGAAAAGCACAGTGAAGAAAAACAGGAAATAGTTCTCTTTTCTGCACCTGCCTCGGCCTATATGTTGCCCAGAGACTCTTTAGCAGGGCATTAACGACACTATGCTTAAGACAGTCGCGTGAACCCTGACATTTAAGGTTCAAAAAAAGTCAAGAAATACCTCAATATTTCAGTGTTTGTTTTCATTTAACTCAAATTTCCTCCGATTACCGACCAAATGAGCAATTCCCTTGTTGAGTACAAAGGCCCGACACCAAACACGCGCGAGCACATGCACGTAAGCTCCCTTGCTCTAAGCCCCCGCGTGCCATCGATATTGAACCTATATAAAGCCAAAGTGTTTGAAGACAGAATTACAAACACCAAGAAAATATTACATCAACTGTAAACGCTGAGAAGAGCGTCATTGTGCGTCTGTAATTGTTGCATTAGCCCACATCGATTCTGCAGTGTGTGGTTTTGAAGGAGGCACAGAGTGATGGTTTTTAAAATGCAAATTTAAACGAGGACCATTGCCTAATAGCCCTCGGGCTAATGTGCGTGATATATGATTCCTTCAGCTGTGATTATTAAACGAGCTGCAGACAGATGATTTTTTTCACACCGTCTAAACGCTGTGATTGGAGATACAATCATGAGAGTCGTCTCTTGTTAGTTACACCGCTAAGTAGATTTATTTAAGGTTGTCTCCGGCCTACGTAGTTATGTAGTTTATATGCGCGCACACACACGCGCGCGCGTACCCACACACGCGGATGTTGTGGACCACATCCTATTGCAAATATCAGCTCATTTCCCTCAGAGAGTCTGTCACAGGCGGCATGCGGCGCTTTTAAGATCAGCATTATTTGTTTAAGCTTTATTTAACTTGTTACAACACAACACTGACATGCTAATGTCGTTAACAAGCTAGCGCAACAAACAAATAAAGTAGGGGAGACCGGGGTGGGTAGTCACGTTTTTTTGTTTGTTGTTATTTTAACTGTCAGTGAATTACAGTCATAATCCCTACACAAGATAGAGGCTTGTAGTCTTGGGTTAAAATAGATGCCCCCTCTTACTCTCTAAAAGGTTAAATAACAACAAACTATAGATCATTAAAGACGCTCTGTGTGGACAAAACCTCACCTCAAGGTTGAATTCAAGGAGCTCCTTTAGCGTCAAAAAGCAAAGGGTGAGAAATTTATTATCCATATATTGATTAGACTGTTTATTTTATGGGAGTGTATATATATAGGTTATGTGACAGAAAATGTGTTGGTTTTATCAAAAAGATGAGAGCCATAGATGTTACCCTGTATGTTGACTGCATTTCTGAACTGATTCAACAAAATAATAAGAAGGCTTCGAAACATGCCCAACTTTCTCCAACAAGTCACCTAAGTTGAGCGAGAGCATGACAACCTTCTCCACTTAAATTCTTGACAGAAATAATGTGTTAGCTAAATCAGGGTTTTAGCAAGCTGGCTCTGACTATACTCAAACCAAAGCTATTTTCCACTTCTCAATAACTCATGTATTTTATTGTAAATACTTGGGCTGGTAATTGTCATTAGTTCAGAACTTCTACTAAAAAATCAATATCCACAAGAAAAAATTTTAACCATGACCTGCAAAAATCACACAATGTTTTCTTAACTTCAAAATCTTCTAAATCAGCCTCACATTAGACATATTTTTTTATATGAACAGGAAGGAACAGTGCCCTGATGCTGGGCTGTAATAACAAACAAACCTTGAGACAACCAACCCCGGTCTCCCGTATTGTAGTTTCTTCGACATGTTACACAAATCTGAACTGCTTATAGGCTATCATTAACAAGCTCGCATGACAAATACACGGAGTAAATCGTTGAAATAAGGAAAACAAAAAAGGGAAAATGCATAAACTAAAATATGCTTTTTAATAGTTTATTTATACTAGTATAACGCAAACTCGTGCAGATTAAATTGGTGTATTTTTCATCCTTCAAAAGACTCATTTGGTGAATATTTTGCCTCTAATTTTCCCATATTTCCTCATCATCTGTGTCTCTTTCTCACGCTCTCTCTCCCTGCCTCTCCACACACGCATGCGTCAAGCAGCGGGCTGTAGCTTCTAACAAGACGATTTCCATCATATCTTCCTTTACAAACCCTGAAATTATTGCTAAAATGCCCGTTTTGGAGGAAAAATTCCCCTCACCCCGACCTCACAGAACAATGTAGCCCACAGCTGAGGACGCCCCCGACTTTTTCTCTCTTTTTTTTCTGAGCGCCGATCGGAAGCCTGCAAAGAGAAAAAGCTTCTCCAATCCTCCACATCGGCAGACTGTGATGTACATCATCTTCCATGAGGTAGTATACAGTCTGCATGCTCGGGTTGTTTATTTCAGCGCATTTTGAAGTTTGAAATTGTGTCAGGCTATCTGTCAGTGAGCAGCGTGCATGCAATTTGACATGTAGGCAGCTCTGAACCTACAGCAGCTTATAGGCTTCATTCAGAGATCAATGAATGAGATAAGAGGAAATTATTTTAGGGGCTGAGCCGCCCCTGCTCACAAGGGAGAGGTCGACTATGTTTCTTATTCAAAATGGGATTGTCTAATAAATGCACGTCTCAAAGTTCCCTCGACAATTTAGCGGGGTAATGAGAAACGCAATAGGTTTTAAATCGTGGAGGATGGGGGGTGATTATTTCCCATAGACAGTTTGTCTTTAATTTCCCCAACAAAAAATGTCGGTGCATTTTAAAATGTCCAACTGATAAGACAAAATCACCAAATTGAAGTTAAAACGAAATAAAGTGGCCTACACTTGGACGGGCGTCACCGATTTCGGAACATTTCTCTCCACCTACAAAAAAAATGTAACTTTTAAAACGCGAAATATGTCTATAAGAAAAAAAAGAAGGATTTTCATATTAAATAATGATTAAATTTTAACTATCTTGGATCTTATTTTTGTTCGTAAAAAGCTGTCAGAGTGAAAACAAACAGTTGTTGGTACGTTATGAAAGGAACAACTAGTGTGAGTTTATTTGAACCAATTAGAGTGTAAATTACGCACAAACAACAACTCAAAGTCACAAACAGAGGCATGTTTTTGAACTCCTAAGACCCCCGCCCCACCCAGAACCACACACACACACACACACACACACACACACACACACACACACACACACACACACACACACACAAAACCAGGATTATCTAAGGACACATGTCCATCCATCTCGCCTTAAAAAGTGAATGGGGAGCGGGCCGACACACACAGAGCCTATTAGCCAACTTGGGCTCCTGTGGAGAGCACCGAGGTAAGCTCCCCCACCGGAACTGTCCATGGTGCTGAAGCGCTAAGAGGTTTTCTTTACTGCTCATTGCGTCCTGCTTCAAAAACTCTTAAAAGCTAGGGTTGACATTTCAATGCCTTTTATTGTATTTCCATCCTATTTAGTAATGGTTCTCTGAGAAAAAATGAAATATTAGAAACTGAGACAACTCACACTGGCTACAACTTTCCCAACTTTTTCTTTTTTACAGCGCAAGGTTTTTAAGCTCCCTTTTCCCCAGTGTGGGAGAACTTCTCTTCAAGTATTGCTGGAACTAACATGGCGCCATAGATGATCATAAACACTGTTAAATGATGCAAAACATGGCCATCTGTCCCTAAAAATATGAAAAAGAAATCCCAGTCAGTTCAGTATCTATCGAAACAAACCTTCGGTGGTCAGAAGTTGAGTTGTAGTTGGGTTGATAGATAAATCAACTTACTTTAAAGTTCCTGAAAGGACCTTTTATCTGGTAACAAAATTGTCAAAAATTAATATTTATGCAAGTGTGTGCACCACAAAAGCAACCATGATCATCAGTAACAAAAGTGGTTGTGTTGAGACCCACATTTTTATTGTCTGAAGTTGCTAATGGGGTAGGTGTCATTACAGCGAGCTATCAAAGAGCCTCTTCAAAATACTGAAATAATACAGATTCATTAAGCTGCTTGTAAGATAGCAAAAATTACAAAGGCAGAATTTTATTTTAGTGATTTGTTTTAAAAACGGGACTTACTCATAAACAGGACAAATTCAGCAAATAGATAAATCCTCTTATTTTGTCCACAGGGGGCGCCAAAATCGACTCAACCAGAAAGTTCCTCACAGGAGCTGAAGGCAACCATGGCCTTCGTGGGGACGGTTGTAGAACACAAAATTGTAAATAGGTAAAAAAGAATAAAAAAAACAAAAACAAATAAAGTTTCAAAGGCCAATCAGATTACCTCAGTCCGGGTTGGTTTTACTAACAAAATTGTTCCAGCAATTAGCCAGGACTACTAGCAGATGCAGAGTGAAGCGATTCTAAATGTTACAGTCTATACAACAAAGTTTTCAAAGAAATAATTAAAAAATGAACAAAGAATTCAAATACCTGAATAGTCAATTGTGAATGTGCTCACAAAGAGACAGTCTCACCACAGTGGAAATAGTACTGGGGTTTAATTCGGCACATAATATGACAGATTTTTCATGTTGCCCTCTCATAAGTTTCATTCATTGACATCGAGAAGCAATCGTAAAAGCAATGAACGGGCTGCAGATCCAACAAGGGTCATATGTCGCCAAGTTAGACCCATAAATCATATCTTTGTGATAATTATTTCTCAGTAATAAAATATCAGACTTTAATAAAATATTTTAAAATGACCAAACTTAAGCTGTTTTGCTTTTATTGTGCAGCACTGAAGCGTACCGCACAGAGCAGTGAAAAATTAACAAAGGTTCAAGGCATCAGGTAATAATGAAAGGATAGGGGCAACACTTCAAAGACCACAAGGCCACATCACACAATTATACAATACAATTAGGATTAAAGGGGCAAAAGAGATAACAGGAGATAGGGATAAATTATCACAAAAGGAAAGATGTGACTCTCTCCTGACCTTCATTAAGAGGAAAAAAAACTCATTTACAGCCTGCCTTCCTTGCAGGGGGATTTGAGCCTTTCACATGAGACTGTGACGCACCAGATAAGATTTACAGAGCATAAATGAGGGTCTGAACTACACTAAACAATTACATCATATTTGTTTCCTTAATAAAACAATAGCTAAAGAAAATAAAACATTATTAATGCAATAAATTCATTTTAGTAGAGCAGAGCAGGTTCCTTTTGGGGCCAGTTTGTCATAGTCTGAATTCTGATACTTTTTAAAGACGAAGTCATCAACATTGTGGTTAACCTCTGCAGCTGTCTTGTGCCATTCTTGCACCAAACAGTTTAAAGTTGTTTGACTCTCACAGATCATTTCCATGCTTAGAAAAAATGAGAGTTTTGCTGGACCTGAGGTGTTCAGATTGTTTGATGTAGAGCAGAAATGGTGGACATTTTCACAGTGGCCAACAAGCCCAAATAATCTTTCAAAGAGCCATGCTGCAAATCAATGAGAGACGCAAATTAATAAATACATGCATAAGATCCAAACAATACAACTGCACAGGGTTCCAGTTAGCCCAATGGTGTAAGTGTGCAAGACGTGTATAGAACCTACGTCCTCACTGCGGCAGATGCTGGTTCAACTTCCTGTCACAACCCTTTCTAATAAAGGTACAATTGTCTGAAATATCAGTTTAAATTTTTGCAAAGGCAGACACATACTGTAAATGACAATATTGCAAAAAGACAAAATAGCTGCAAAGATGCTGTAAATAAATAAACAATGCAAATCCAGGAATGCACGAAAACATAAAATATATACAAAAGAAAAATGCTGCATATCAAGACATGACAACAGGAGTGTTCCAGGCCTGTGGGGGCAGCACATGAAATTGTCTGGTATCTTCTGCTACTGACATTAGGGAGAGTGAGGAAAGACAAGGTAGTGAAGTCATTATCTGACCACACAGCAGAAGACTCCGCTAGAGTGTAAAGGCTGTGAGGCCTCACTGACTACTGAGCAAAAACACAATGTACAGTAGAACCCATGCAATCTTAGTGAGAACAAGTTTCTGGTAGAAATATAGCTACACCAGAGTTAGCACTTTAAAGCATGGCTTGAAAACTCTCGGTTAACTGTGCAACCGGAACTATTAGTTGGCTAAACCTTGGTTTATTGCTGTTTTATTTAGGGCACCGGTGATTGTTTTGATGGTGTCATTGGATAAATTCATTACCACCTGAATTTCTCTCCCAGCTGAAGTGGTGTACAATCTGTGCTTTACCTTCCCCCCAATGTACCAGTATTTCAACTTGTTCCACCTCGCCACAAACAACTTGTTGTGGTTGTTAAAGGGGCATGCCTCCTTCCCTGCTGCTTCTCAAAGTTATTATTACATAACGCAAGTGAGTCTGGCTCTTTCCTTCAACAGTCTCCAATTTACTAATAAGTAGGCTATTGCACAGATACTACAGCTATAGTATGAAGAAAAACATCCTTTATTAATGATCACTTCAACCAAATAACAAAAAATTATGAGTTGTTTTTAATGGTAGTACCTAATGCCTCTAGCAATATGGTAATTAAATTTTGTTTCAATAGTAAGAAAAAGGAAAGTAGGGGAGACAGGGCTTGTTGTCACTCTTTTTATACTCTTGTATATTTCTTGGAATCAATACAAGTCATATAAAAAGTGTACCAGATGAAAGACCGAGTCGTAAGTATATACTGTATTTTGTTTGTCATTTTCATATCTTGTGTCAGTGAAGAGTTACAAGCAATCAAATAGAGAGTGTGAATATGTGACATGTTGCCCCACTACTGGGTAAGTTGTCTCATTATTAGGGGTAAGATGTCACACTGCAACTAACCACCACCTCTGATCTGTTAAGTGTGGTAATAACTCTGATTTATGGATGTATGACACAGGTGGAGGGGATCTGATGACAGGACTTACCGCTGGATAAACATCAGGCTGGAGGGAGCAGCAAAACTGGCATATCTGTCATTATTGACCTATGTTTGTGGGACAGTTCTCAAATTTGATGCCACCTCTTCTTTTGAGGTCAAATGTTCATAATGATGCCTTTGATACAGTTTACAAGGGATAATTGGCTCTTACTAAAGCCTGAAGCTACAGCTGATAGGTGGATGTATTTGTGTGTTAGAGTGTGTGTCATGTAGGTCCTGTTTTAATACTAACAATGGGAATAGTCTGATAATCACTGATTATTGCCCAATATTCGGCATTTAGCTGATTATCTGTATCAGCTTTTTATTGTATGGATGGCCCAAAAAATTACTCTTTATAAAGTGCGCTAAACTTTGTTTCCACTACCTGTGTTTCTTCCCCTCTGGGTCTGTTTTCACTCCCCACTCCACCTCACCTAATAATGTCATAATGCTGTCTGATTGGCTGGGCATCAAACAACCAAACTGTTGAACATGCAGTTTTGATGAAATATTTGCTAAATGCATGAAACAAAGTTTTGAGATGGCGCTTGAAATATCCCAAATTAAAAGTTTTGACCGAATGACTGTTGTTTTTACCGTCATTGTTCCAGATATCATTTATCCCCATGAATGAATAATCATCAATATTGGCCCTTAACAATCAATATCAGTCAACCCCTAACATACAACACTGACTATAAGGAGACACATTATTTGGATTGACTGATTTAGTGTAGTATAGTGCAGATGATTTATGATAATAAAAATGTGGAATGTGGGGAAGTACAGCTTGTAGGTCAAGGTGTTCATGTGGACAATGTAAAACACAAGATACAAAAAAACTCACAGTTTCTCTCTTTAAATGTCTTACCACAGGGCTACATGTTCCCCCAAACTGAACCCTGAGACACACAACAAAGCTCCAGGAATCAGGTGATGAATTCAAAGCTGAAACTGAACATCAATATTCCACTGTGCCCCTCCTGTACATCTCACAATTATACAAATCAATCAACCCTCTCTTCCACCTTTCCTCTTTGTTTGTTTACAGAATTTGCATCCAGCATCATGAAGAAAGAAAACATTCATTGGACAAAGAGCTTCTTGTAAAGTCTGAGCTGGACTGTAGCTGCTAAAGAATGAAAAAAGCGCGAACTCCAGTGTGAAATAATGAAACTGAGTCAGTGAAAGAATGGGGAATCTTTTGAAGCCTGACACACTGATGGAGAGCAGGAAAAAATACAATTCAAAAATCTGTATCAGTCGATGATTAATTAATTTTGTTGAATGATCTGCTCCAGCCTTGTGAGATATCAGTTCCCATTCCTTTTGCACTTTTATAGAAGATCTCAAGAGACTGCTGGTTCAAAAGATGGTTCAATTTAGAGTCCCGATGGAAAATGGTTTTACAAAATCTTTTCCTCACGTTTGGCTTTGATGTGTTTAAACTGTCGTAATCTTACTGTTCGGAGATGGAGAAAATAAATTCTGTTAATTTTTCAATTGTAAATGCTCCTCTTTTTCTTGACTTCACATTACATCTGAAGAGATTATCAAAGAAATATATAATGAATTGAACTGAGACTTTTGATGAGCATTATAGCACTACCAGTTTTCATTTTCTACTGTACACAATATGAAACTGATTCAGAATGGATTGATTAGAAATGTTAAATGAACTGAAAATGAACTTCTGTGAATCATCCCAGACTCTTGTGTAAATTAAAACAATAAACACACTCAAAGATCACTACTTCATTTCTCAGATCAAAGGAAAGACGAGCTACAGATTTCCAGATTTGCATCACTGAAATATCAAGAACTATAACAGGAACAACCAACCACACTAAAAATGACTCCAAAGTTACAACAAGTGCATTTAAAGCTTGGTTTAAATGCTGAGCTATATACTCAAACATGCAATCTAAAGCTGGATGAAGAATTTTTTAAAGGCTGTGATTTAGCTTTTGAATGGAAAATAGAGTAAACATTCAAATTGATGTAAGTCATTCTGCATTTCATACACCTCCTTATCCAAAGTTGTGGTCATGGGTGCACAGGTTGACAGTTATTATCTTTTTATACAGCAGCCATCATTACCTCTAGAAGGACTACACGAATGCAGTCGCACGCCCTCACATCAAATATTGGTCGAGAAAACAGCAAAAATAATTAATTTCCTTAAAGAGCATGTTCACTTCATAACGGCCCATCACTAGAAACAAGATACCAATCATACAATATTATATGTCATGATACAGTACGACACATTTCTATACAAAACCACATTAAATGTTGACATACAATATCACGTAAGATTTTACATCACAGTGTAATTGGATACAAAAATAAACCAAAATAAATGACATAGTGCAATATGGAAGAGTTATATTAATCCCACAACACAACATGATATGATTAAGTAACGTCACATGATGTTATACAACTTGATATGTAATACAATAAAACCTTTAAAAAAATGAGACTGTACGATACAATACAACGATACAATATGACAAAATACAAAAAGATATAACCTAAAATGATGTGAAATCTGAGGATACCATATAACACACAAGATGATACAGTATGACATGATAGGCCACAGTGCAATACAATATGAAATAATAAAAAATCATACAAATAAATATGATACAATACAATAAAACACTATGGGACAATAGTTGAAATCTTATGATGCAACACAAAACAACCTAACATGATTGGGTACAATATGAGTTTTTATTAACATGTGAAACAATGTCATATAATACAATATATGTGATAGAATATAAGATCAAAAATGATACAATACTATATGATAACCAATACAATACCATAAAATATATGATAGGATGTATGACACGATAGACGTTATGATGAACAATACAAAATAAGATACAATATATGATACGATGGAGAATATAATACAATATGATAAATGACACTATGCATGATATATAATATACAATCTGATATGATGATATACCATTTATGAAACAACACAATTTGATATACGATGTGATAAACAATACAGTATACTGTATGACATACAATACAAAATGAAATGATATGTGATTTACGATATATAATATGTGAGAGAAGATGTAGGATATACAATATGATATGGATAGGAGACGGCACAACATGAAAAAAGTAAGGCATGATATGATGCAATATAGTATAAAGCAGTATGATAACATCTAATGGGAACATATATGATAGGAACCTATAGAACTTGATTTGATATGTTTCATGTGTACAACATGATAATATACAACGCAACAGGACAAAATTTGAGACTTCATGATACAGAATGTTACAGTTTAATAAGACATGACATGATATCATACAATATAGTATGAAATAATATGAGATCTGAAAACGGCACCCCAACAGAGTTCTTTCATAAACTCAAGCAAATTCACTCTGTTACAGTCCACCACTGTCCCTAAGAGATGGAGATTTAGATTGAATCATAGATATTATTTAGTCTATTGAACTTGACCTCCACCCTGTTAGCTAGAAGGTGACTCTCTGTTAAAGAGCTTTGGACCCAGCAGGTCATTTACGAATATGAGGAAAGATTGATTTCCTGTCATTTGCATTTGTTCCATGTTTTTTTTTTTTTTTTTTTCCTAAGCAGTTATCTGTTTCTCACACTATAACCCACACACCACTTTCTACCAAGTGCTACATTTAGATATATGCATTTGCAGGTAGATCTTTGATAACTGTTTATTCAAAAGCGCTCTAAAGTTGAAAGGAGGATATAACCTCGACTGAGAACTCTGGAGGGGTGGACTAAGATTGAAATTGGTCTGACTCTCCCTCTCTCTCTTGAATTGAAGGTCCATTGTAGTACGTCAAACAAAAGGTTTTTTATCAGAGGCTCTTAATGTAACCCCCTCCCCTCACTCTCACGGCCACCAACTCGTTCTTCTCTTCCTCTCTTTTCTCATTCATTTATTCCGCTGTGTGTGGAAATAGGCTGGGCAACAATTAATTTCAGAGTGAATTCAGGCAGGATCTATTACCCCTCTCTGCCTCTATTGCTCTAATGGAAATCTATTTCACTTCTCTTTTGTGTCCAATATAATTTAATGCCCATTTTATTAATGGCCTGAAATAATTACGGAAGGCTTTTGTGATTCTTGAGTATGTTTCATTTAATTGTGTAATAAATGTCTAATCAGGGCTCCCATCTGAAGCCATTATGGCATTAAAATTAACAATTACGCCACAAATGTCTTGGTGAATGCGTTGAGGTCTATAGAAATCGTTGCTGATAACAAGACACATATAAATCATTCATGAGAATTTTTTCAGAGAACAGCGGAGTGAGAGATAGGAGGATGGGAGGGAGAAAAAAAGAAGTGGGGGAAGAAAAGAGGAGAAGAAAGAGGCTGAGTTTTCTTTATTCCATTGAAAAACCGGGGATGGCCAAAAGATAGGGCATTTTAAAACTGTGTCACCCTCTCCAGTCCCTTTCTTCCCCTGTCTCTCTCTATCTCCCTTTAATTTGCCTTCCTCTTTATTTTTGAAGTGACAGATTTCACTTTGGGAATTCATTAACCGTTAACTTGGGCGATAAAATATCTATCAGGCCCTTTGCCCGGTTCCTTTGCTAAGCTGCGTGGCGCTCCGGTTCAACGTTGTGGGTGACCGAAGGCAATTAAAGAGGCTTCACACTCTCTCACTCCCCCAGTGTCGCTTTTTCACTGAAAACAGGAAGGCTGCTCAACACACCAGCAAGAATTGTTTTCTTACTAGCCAAGTATACAAATTTCATGGTATGGGGAAACTGCCACTGCCACTAAAAAAACCCTCGTCAGTTCTTCTGTGTCATTTCCAAGCTAATATACTACAATTGGTTTTGGTGAATCTAGTCTAATAGAATAAGGTTTTGGCCTTCTTTGTTCTCTATTACCATGATGCACAAAGGGCCTCCCCGGGCGATGGATTGCACACTGGTCCCAACCAGACTCTTTCAAGTGACAGTGTCAAGGCGGTGACTTTGATGTGTTGTGTTAATCAGAGGGTTGATTTTATTCACGACCCATTTTGGAATCATGCAATCTAGGATAAGTTGATAGAAATCATCCATCTCTGACTCCATTCATCTGAGCAGACTAGACTGCCTCTGCTGGAGTCAATAATTCTCCAACAAGTTAGTCATAAACAGAAGCCAGAGTGCAGAATGAATAACACTGGGTGAAGTGATTGAATTCAGTGGCTGTGCTCAGACCAAATATAAATCATGGCATTGCATTACTTATGCGAGCCTGACCACGGGATCATCTATGTGGACTTATTGCCCAGTTGTGTCAAATACTTGATTCTGGTTGGCAAATCAGATTCAGGTTTTAGGTCACTGTAGATGGAACTTAGTGAAAATACCTAAGTTTTATTTTTTCCTTGCTTTGAGCTCTCATCCACACCAAAACAGAGTTTGAGGTCATTGAAAAGCCCACGCTAACAGCTACAGTAATCCCACCTGTCAGTTAAGTCAGCTGTGCCTCTGATTTTCTAAACTTGTAACCTTTATTTTAGCACAACAAATACCTTATAATAAATTTCCTGTTCTACCCACTGCCCTACCCTATCAAATAGTGTCCAAAGAGCCCAAAAATAATCTTTAAATGAAAACAGTCAACATAAATATTCCTGCAGAGGTCCAATGTGGCGTGTTTCTTTTAGTGGAGGTTTTTATTTTAATGTGAATTATGACAAATTATAACAAATAATCAATTATTAAGCTATGTTTAAACTTGACCGCGTATAAGACTGTTTAGTTTGATGTTAATTTGTTATTTGTTATGCTATAGGAGCATTACTGATGGTGGAATACAATTAACTATTTCTTTAAATGTAAAAATATTAGGGGTGGGACTCAAATGAAAAAAATAATCTAATTAATCATAGGCTTAGTAAATAATTAATCACATTAATCCAGTGAGCTAGAGAGTTTGTTCATTTTTCTGACGTGGACTTACTCATCTTAGCTCTGAATCCACGAGTGTGGGTTGGGTGGGGGTCGCTGCACTCGGTGTCGGACTAACGCTAGCTTCCACACTAGCTGCAACATGTTTAAGCATTCAGGTGATACCGGAGGCTTGATGTGCTGCAGTGATGTGCAAATTTTTCTTTGCATAGTTTGCACAAGACGATTTTTTTCATCCAGGCTTCCATCCATCTTTAAAAAAATAAAATAAAATGTCCATCCACGCTGGAGCCAATTAAAGCACATTCATCCACAAAACTTGTCCAGTGAGAAACTTTTAATGGTGCAAAAATATAGTAAGTGTGATTAATATGCATGAATATTTTTAACGAGATAATATTAATGTAATTAATTAATCACACTAAATGTGTTAAAGTCCCCGCCCTAAATATATATATTGTCATAGTCAGCGAATGCATCTTTAAATCAGAGATGGAATAGGTAAAGAGCAGGATGATGTATAGTAAAGGTGTGGTTATGCAAGTTAAAATCTCTTCAGGGGGATCGCTGTTGGGTTTCTAATTTGCGTGACCACCTATTCACTATACATGATCCTCAACTGATAATTATTTATGCCCCATCAAATAAATAAAGCCAAACATGGTTGTGTGTAGCTGACAAAACAGCCTTACATGAACTTGGTTATGCATGCCAGCAACTGAGTTAGTATTATGGCCTATATGGAATTATACGGGCAAGAAGCGACCCGGACAACTCATTAAGCTCTACAGGCTGCATAATGGGTA